AAAATTCATTTCCAATAGAAATTTAAGCAGTAGCTACAAAGTATGGGCGTCGGAAATACATTATTTCCGACGAAGTGGTCGGAAATGAAGTATTTGCAACTAGCCTTTTAGTGACAACTTCCGACAAACTTTTGCCGTCGAAAAAGGTATTTCCGACTGCAAAAGGCTTTTGGCAACGACAAAATGCCCTCGCAAAAGGATTCTGTTTTGTAGTGATAATAGGTAGGATAAAAGTGTACAACTCCATACCATTGAAAATCAGTACTCAAACAAGAAGAAGAAGTTGCATTTGAATCAACAAACAAACCCTAATTGGACAATACTAGAAAAAAACCATGAATATGGAGCTCAAACCTGATTAAACTTTGAAAGCTGATCAACAACATCATTTCCAACTAGTGCCTCTCCAACAAACAAGACAAGATCTGGATTGTTAAGATTGACTAGCTTTAATAGTGCCCTCATTAATGGTTCATTATCCTGAAAGGCATAAGATTGAAACAAAAATTGCTAACTAACAGTAGCTTAGCATGTACATCATACAAACAATAAATGTTTATGTAGATGCTCAACCATTCTACTAAGAACTAGAAACACATTAACAACATTACAAATCATATTAGAACTAATACAAATAAGCAAGCAAGTAATTTTCAGAATCTTTTTTTATCAATTTATTTATCGCAATTTGTAAATGAAATGCAAAACTAAGGAAAAAAACCATAGATATATTCAAATTAATCACAAAATCGCAAAGAACTTGCTCAATGAGCTTCGAATTTCGGTGATAATCAAACCGGATCATACCAATATGATTCGGCTGACCTTGAAATGGTTGGCAAAAGAAGATGAGCCTGGAGCCACACAAGCTGTTCCACTAGTCATGAGCTCATGCATCGCCATGGTCGATGCCCTTCTTCTTCTTATTCCTCTTCAATCTAGAACATAATTGTTATTAAATAAAAGATTATAAATAAATAAAATTTAAGTCGGTTGTTTCTCAAAACTGCACCCAAAAGGGCAAAACCGTAATCCAATATAACTATTGACGACAACTGTCGATTTTTGGGTTTATTTTGGATGTGTTTATATACATTAAATAGTATATGGTTTATTTATAGTTTTATGTCTAGGAATGGGTATTTAACTAATTTTCTATAATTTTAAACATACCAAATTTATGACAGGATATTTCACTTCAATTTTGTCTTAAAACAGCAGTTACAAAATCTGGTGTACTTAATTAACTTTTAAAACTGACTTGAATAGGATTTTGAAATTTGTTTTAAACACAAAACGACACACCAATGTAACTATGTCTTAAATGGATTTTGTAATTAAATTTTTTTTTTTTACTCTCTTCCAAAACAAACTAACTTGGAATAGTATAAAATTGTTAAAAAAAAAGAATTTGTTTAAAGTTGGACTTTAATGTGTGGCAAGCAATAATCAACAACAACGCAGGCAATAAAACTGAATCAATTTAGACAAATTTGCCCTCTTTATTTATTTATTTAAAATTATAAAAGTTTTAGAGTTGGAATTTAAATTTGAAAACGTGTAGGCTTAAAAGGCACAGTCAATAAGCTATAATAAAGATAGAATGAGTATCAACCAATTTAAAGAAACTTTTCACCTTTTCAATTTTTAAAATTTTTAAAATTCGTGTACGTTTTATAAACAAAAAACGTGTGGCTGCCTTGATTTAGAATGTGTAGATGTTCCCCTTTTATTTTATTATTATTTTTTGTTTGAATTTGATAAGAAGGAAAAATAAATTGAAACTTAAAGCAACAACAAATAAGGTAAGAATAATTTTAACCTACAAAGGCTTTAGATTGTTATTTAAAATTGTGGTTTTTTTCTTTTTTTATAAAATTCTTATTCAAACTCTTTAAATATAAAAAATATATAAAAACAAAACTTTAACAGTAAAGTAAAATAAAGAGACAAATAAATAAATAAATAAAATATGTTAAGATTAAGAAAGCAAGCTTGGTATAGTGAAAGCACGTCAAAGATGCTGTCCTAGAGCCTTTGTAGCCTCCTTACGTGCAGGTAATGACGGTCTACAAGACTCGAAGATACGACCCCAATACACAGGCTTAAGGTCCGCTTTGAGCACATTCATAGTCGGATAGAAATTTCCAAGCCACAGAACCGTTGCCCAAAAATAATATGGAAAGTAGGGAATATATGAAAGTATGAGAATAGAGAAATATGATTGTTGTGTGTTGAAATGTGAAGGAGGAATGGCCTTTTATAGGCATCCAACACTCGTAACCTTCAAACACATTTAATCAGAAAAATTAAGGCAATGCATAGAAAATAAAAACTGAAAATTAAACAATTTGTAACTCCTATAATAAATAAAAGAAAACAGCCAAAAAATTAAAACAGAAAATAAAATGTTAAAATTTAAAAGCCTTTCAAATAATGACAGTTGCAAGTATGGAAGCATTTGGCGGGTTTTCATTTTTCATTAGTGGTCTATTGCTGCATTTCAGTTATATCTTCTGCTTCATCAAAATCAACTAGAATTTGTTGCTATCCAGCTCCTATTACAATCCAATCCCATATTCTTTCCTCATCAATCACCACATCACTATTGATAATTACTTTTTCAGTAATGGGGTTGAACAATTTGTATGCTTTGGAGTGTTCCCCCACCCCCAAGAAAGATGCATTTCTCACCCTTGTCATCAAGCTTTCTCCTCTTGTCATCCGGAATGTGTGCATATGCTATGCACCCAAACACCTTGAAGTGATGTACTGGTAGTTTCCTTCCACTCGAAGCTTCCTCACGCGTCATGTTTTTAACGAAAAAAGTAGGACTTCTGTTCAAAATATGAATGGACCACAACACTGCCTCTCGCAAGAATTTCTTCGGAACTCTCCCCTTAACCAGTAAGCTTCTAACCATGTTGAGAATGGTTCTATTCTTTCTTTCCGATACACCATTTTGCTGAGGTGTATATGTAGCTATAATTGCCTTATAATGCCTCTCTCAACCCAACAAATCTTCAAACTCTTTTGAACAATATTCTCCACCACGATTAGTTCGAAAAGTCTTAATGGTTCTTCCAGTTTCATTCTCAACAAGTGCTTTGAAGCTTTTAAATACATTAAAAGCCTCTGATTTTTCCTGCAAAAAATACACCCATGCTTTATGGCTAAAATCATCGATAAAAGAAACAAAGTATTTCTTTTTACCATTTGATACTAGTGTGATGGGACCACAAATGTCAAAATGCATCAACTCCAGCAAATTATGAGCTCTCCAAGCCTTTCCTTTTGGGAACTCATCATGGTGTTGTTGGCTAATAACACAATCTTCACAAACTTTGGATGGAGGAGTGATCATAGGGAGAACTATCACCATTTGCTTATGGTGGAATGTTTTTAGCCCAATAAAATTCAAGTGCCCATAATGGTAATGCCACAGCCATGTTGAGTCTTGCACCTTGGTAGAGAGACAATTCTGAATGTTATTCTGAATATGCAGTGGAAACATTCAATTTGCTATCATGTGGACTTCTACAATCAAACCCTTCTCTGGATGTTGAATTTTACAACATCTTTTTTGAATAATGATGGTATAGCCCTTCTCTTTGCAACTGACCCATGCTAATAATATTACTCTTCAATTCTGGGACTTAGAACACACTAGAAGTTGTCTGCACAATATTATTACTCAGCTGAAATTTGATATTTCCCTTTTCCCATAATAGAGGTATTATAATTGTTACCAAGCTTCACAGTCTTTTTAAAGGTTTTATCAAAATCAGAGAAAAGGGACTTATTATCGCACATATGATTGTTGCACCCAAAATCCAAATACCACAAATTCGATTTAGTGCCTGTTTGGCATTACTTATTTGGGGTAATAAGTGTGAGAAAATTTTGGAAAGCCTAGCCTGTTTGGTAAACTGTGAGAAAATCACTTATTGTTAAAAATTGCTGTGAGAGAAAGCTATAAGGGAAAGCAGCTAATGAGGTGCTTTCATTTTCTGATTATGTAGGAATTAGTTTCGAGGAGGCGCTGGGTTTAATGATTATGCGGCAATTATTTTTTATTATGCGGAAATCAATACCAACAACACTTTTAACAAAAAGTTTACCAAACGCCAAACTGCTTTCTCTCACAGCTGATTTCTCCACAGCAAATCTGACAGTGATTATTTTCACAGCACAGTAATGCCAAACTGGCCCTTAGACTCCTCTGTGTCAACAATTGCAACTTCCTTCTTCTCAAGGTACGCCATCAAGAGTAGCTCATCTTCTGTTTCTGCAAAGTTGGACTTTTCATCTTTTCTGCACATTCATACTAAAAATGGCCATTCTTGTGGCAGCGATAACAATCAATGTTTGATTTGTCAAACCTTGATTCTTGGTCAAATGATCGATGGTTATCACGCCCTCGATCTCTTCCTCTTCCATGACCTCTACTACGGCCTCTAAATGATCCACTATATGTTGAGGTGTCACCATTCAAAGCTTGCTCCTCAATGACATAACTAGTCATTCTCTACTCATGATGTGCAAGGAACTTTGCAGTTCATCGATGGACAACGCATCAATATCATGTGATTCCTCAATGGAACAAATCACATAGTCGAATTTTGTAATCATTGAGCGGAGAATGTTTTCAACTATTGTGACATCTCCCATTTTCTCACAATGGATATGCATCTTGTTTGCTACATCCAATCTCCTCCAGAAATAATCAATGACTGATTCTCCTGCCTTTTGGGAAGTGAAGCCATTGTTTATTTCGAGCTGGCCCGCAGATTTCAGGCCCAAACAGCAATTAATCCACAAATAGTAAGGTGGGGCATTTACAACTTATATTTCATTACAGAACATAATCAAACTCCAGATGCAATTTAGTGATACTTGTCATCTTTATCATGCAAGCAGCTGGCACCACTGAACTATCTACTTACACATCCACATCTTCTAGTACAATTGCATAAGAAATAAAGCTGCTGTACGAAATATGAAATTCTAAGAACATGGCTAGATTGCATTCATTCTTAAGGTGCAACTCTGACATTATTGTCATGATACATAAAGAAATACATATATTCAGGCAATACTATAAAAATTGAGAATTAAAATTATACAACACGAGAGCGATGGTAGTGACAGTGAGAGCGAGAGTGAAATGGTAAATTTAAGACCATTAAGGTCCAAATATGAAACAATTTACCAGAGTTTAAATGCCAGATGCATTACATTCTTCTAGGAGATTAAGAAGGTTATGTTCAGGGGCACTAAGAGAGGGTAAAATCATGCGATTGGTTCGTTTTTGTCTTGGTTTTGTCCCAGAATCTTCAGAATCAAGAGATCCCCCTTCCTTCATCACTGGCAAGTCACCTCTCCTTGGCACAGTTGCTGATACTCGCTCCTTCCATAGTCTCCCATCCTGAAGGTCAAAGAAGCCATATCAACATTCTATACATAACAACAATTAACAAATTTTGAGTAAATATAAACAAATTATGGCAATCTTAAGCCATTTCTACATTTATATCCACACCACTTCTACATTTATATCCAATGGTACGCATGTGATTTGCAGAAGTCAATGCTTATATACAACACACTTTATCCGATCAATCCACAGAAAATGGCAAAGACCAAAGACTTCACAGCTGCCTGTATGGCCAGAGAAACTGTTCGGTACCCTCTCTTAAATAGGCACAAAGTTTTTCTTCTAGGCACTTGTTTGTCCTACCATATGTTGGAAGCTAGTGACAAAACATCAACAGAAAAACACTCAACATGGTTCTGCCATACCAAAAGTAAATGTTTCAAGCAAACCTTACCCAGCAGCACTTAAATTAATACTACAGTTATACATCTGACATAAGGTATAGTGATCCAGATACTTAAACTACAAAATAAATGAGTATAGGTTTGCTAGGTTACAAGAAAAAAACAGGTCTTGGAACAAAATATCTTTGTGGGATTGTTTCACAGAAATCTTCTTGCGTGATTTTCAAGGACACACAGAAATATTTTCATTCTTTTCTAATTGTAAATTTCAAGAATAAAGGAATCTCCGTCTTCCATACATACATATAGTATCACGACATATTTTTGCAAGCCACATAATGTCTTAGTATCACCACATACATAGGGATCAGAGTTGGAAACTTTTATAACATTAATCAACATATCCTGAATCTAACACTGAAAAAAATTTCAACGCTCAGGCAGCCAAGGTTTTCATCCAATCCAATCAGCACAAAATAGAGACTGACTTCAATTTTACCATCAAACCTACTTGGACAACATGCAATGTCATCCAGAAGCAGCTTATTGGTAATCGTAGTTGACACAGTTAAAAAAATCAATTTCTACTTCATGCCATCCAAACCAGCTCTAGCACCCTATATTGCTAACTTATAAAGCAAAAAATTCTTTAATGGAAGTCAGGATTTTATCTTACATTAAGAATTGAAGGTTCAGGTAATGGGCACTGGATTGGTCTATCATTGTTGAGAGGCTCGATTGGATGTTCAACTGGCTTAAACTCTACTGCTACCTCAATCCCATGAGAAGCGGTGATGGGGGCAGTTGCTGAACCTGTACCCTCTGAATTTGGGGGCAATACTTCCCTCTCATCCTGCAACAGATAGCAAATTACATGAAACTCTGAATGCACGTATCAGAGCCATAAATGCCATTGCAATGTGTAGCACAATCAGCAAGCGGCCGAACTTAAATATATCAGAAAATCTGTTGCTGTTAAGGAATTCAATGTAACTCACAGAACATTGTAAATTGACTTTGCACAACCAAAGAAAAAAGGAAAAAAAGAAAGAAAAAGAGGATCAATACCAATAAGAAGAAAGCAAACCACTTAAATTAATCACAGGCCTTGATGGTAACAAAGATTTATCCCCAACCAGTCAAACAGAAATCATCGGTCATATGATTTATTCAATAAATAACAGAATAATGAAATTCAACAAACTGCTGACACAGTAGCTTTGCAAAAACCAATCAATATATTTCAAGGATCAAAGGGTTCATAACCCAAAACCAAAAGAGTCGAATTCGAAGAAATGGTATTTCAAAATAAACATATACAAAACCAAAAGAAATGGTCAGATCCTGAGAAAAGTTCCACAACAGAAGACTAAATCAAACCCCATTTCACAAATTATAGAAGCAATAAAAAAAAGTCAACCCCAGTCAAAATAAGACAATCTAAAATATCTAATAACTACCTCAAAACGACTACAGACCCAGCAAAAGGAACAACAATCAGAGGATTGCAAATAAAAGAACACATCCAAAAAAGTGCAAAATCAAACATTTTGAAGAACAAGCCAATTATTGAATATAAAAGAGAGAGCAGAAGAGAAGAGTTCTTACAATGGCACTCTGGGTACGTCGATGAGCAGCTCTGCTGACAGAGAACCTTGAGAAAATACCCACCATAGTTTTTTTCACTATAGCAAAACTAAATTCACACAAAACGGTTTTATGATATTGGCTTTATTTGTCAAACCAACTACTTTCTCTCTCCGTCTCTCTGTCTCAACTCTCTCTCTAGAGTACATACACCCAAATGATGCTCGACCACAAGGGTGTTTCAATCTTTGTTCGGAAAGATTCTAGGTAGATAAAGTGATGGAAAGAGAAAGTTCGGGTACCGTAAGATATATATTTTTTTATAAGGCAGATTAGATGAGGTTGCTTGGCGTAATGGGTTTTGTCCGGTTGGGATTTTCCTTTGTCTTGCTGTAGTTATTTGCTTTGGAGTCGGTAGATAAAAGGCGGTGAACGAGAAGAAACAAAGTGTTGGAGAATCATGAAATGGAGAAATAAACTTTTTTTTCTTTTTCACTGAAATTACAACTCAAGTGATTAAGAATATTTTTTCTGCCCGACAACAAGGAAAGTCATTCTGAACAAGAATGGGACCCAATTACCAAAGCTAACCCAAAAGCAATCATTGCCTGAGCTGCTGCCTAGAAGAAATTATAGAATAAAATTATACTACCATGTTAATCTGTGATACTCTCATTCGAAATTTGTCACTTGTCATTATTCAAAACATGTAAAGGTTTTTTTTTTTACAGTTGGACAAGAAACCCATTATTATCCTCGAAATAAAATTAAGAAAATAAAAAATCAGCAAAAGACATAACCACCCACCTTGACCCATTCTCTTACCCCGCGCATCCTCTCCCCTTGGCCACCGCCCCTCCCTCTCTCTCTTCCCTAGTCTCTCTTTCTTCCTTCCTCTCTCTCCCTCACTTTGTGGCCTTCTCACGCAGTTCAAAAAATTAACCATTGGTGGCTACCAAAGACCCATCTATATTTCTTCTTTTTGAAGGTCTCGCTCATTTTTTGACAGATTTTATCATATCTAAAAAAGGTTGAGGTGAGAGATGGGTGTTAGTGAATAAAATTGGACCCATTTTCAATGCTTTTGAGATCTTGCATGTGGTTCCATGGGTTCAAGACACCTTACAATTTTAGTGAGAGAGATAGGAGAGGAGAGGAGAGGGAGGGTTGGCAATTCAGGGTAAGGGGTTGGGTCGGGTGTGAGGTGGTTTAGACGTCTTTTTTGTCCTTTTTTGTCTTTTTCGGTTCATTTTTTCTATAGTTTTATTATGAATGTAAAAAAGAATTGTTTAATCCAACTGTAAAAACTTATATTTTTTAATATAAAAATGACACATGGCAAGTTTTGAATGGGAGTATCACAAGTTGATATGGTGATACAGTCCTATTCTATAATTTCTCGCTGCCTAGGGACGTTGTCCTTATGCTCAAGGGCGGTGCTATGCACAGGACAAGCTAGGTGCCTATCCAGCCCAAATTTTTTCAAAAAAAAAACCCCACATGTGTTGCCCATCTAGGTGGTCCCATATCTTCTCTCTCATTCTCTTTTGGCTATTAGACTTCTAGTTTTTCTCTCTCTCCTTGCTACCCGACAATAGCAAGTTTCTCCCTCTCTTTTTTTGAGGTCAAATCATCCCTCTATTGGCTACATCTTCTATTATCTTGGGTGGGCAACTTGGCAACAACATCTTCTCCTCTCCTTTTGTCAACAACAAGTATTATTCTAATTCTCTCATTTGCTATATATCTTTAATTATAGTTTTAATTTAAAATTAAGTATTCTAGGGTTTAATTAGGGATGAATTATAATTTTGGGATTTGTTGAAATTAATTAGGGCTTTGATTAGAGATGAATTATTCTAGAGTTTTGATTTGGGATTTTGTTAAAATTAAGTATTCTAGGGTTTAATTATGGATGAATTATAATTTTTTGTTTGGTATTGTTGAGATGCTATTATGAGAATTTGTTTGATTTTTTGTTGGTATGTTTGATTAAAATTCTTTCTACATATTATTCATAGGCTATGTTTTATTATGTTGAATCACAATTGGAATCCCAAGAGAACAAAGAATTTTTTGTCTTTTTTTAAGAAAAAGAATTATGGGTCATCATCTAGTTCATTGCCTTCTAGCACTTCTTTATCTACTCCAATATGTGATGAGCAAAATCTTCCTAAGTCTCCCAATGTCGAGCCTCTAGTTGAAAGAGTTGAATCTCAAAGAGTCAATGATGATCATGATTTTAATATCAATTATCTTGAGCATGATCTAGGATTACGTAATCTAATAAGCAAATATCCGGTGAATAAACAAGATAATGTGCGAAGTAAGGCTCATTATGTCCCCCCTGACTAGGTGTATCTTTTTATGTTTATTAATGAAATTCACTCGTATCGTCAAGTTTAGTATGTTAGTTTTGCCCAACCGGCTTCTAAATCCTGAAACCGCCACTGCTCATGTTAACGTCAGTGACCAATATAAATACCAAAAACAAAAAAAAAAGGAAAAAACTTCAAAAAAAATTTCTAGAAATACCTGGCAATGTTCTTCACTTCCCACACCAAAACTCCATACAAATTCCTCTCCTCATATTTCATGTAAATAGTGCTTGTCTTTACTTATCATAGGAATGCATGGGAAAGCAAAATTAAAAAGGGTAGGACAGTCACTATTAACGTGAATAATGTTTGTCCTTACTTGCCCTTCCCCTTTACCATAGCTAAATGGGTGGAAGTGCTCTAAACTCATATCCCTTAGCACCATTCTCAGCCACACACACCATCACAGTAGAAAAGACAAATGAGTATGTTTTATTTTGGGTTTTTTTTTATGAGCACTGGATTGGTTGTTGGGTTTTTTAAATTATTTTATTCTATGCAAAACAGGCTGATATTAGATGGGTTTTTTTAAAAAGAACATTAGGCTTTAAAGGTGGTGGCACAATGGTAATAAATGGGATCTTTTAAAACATGTTTTATTGGTTTGGATCCGGATCCTCTACTCTGATTTTATTTGCCATGATTTGCTTTATTTTTGTTCTCTACATGCTTAATCTAAGGAGTTTAAAATGGACACATCATCCCTAAAATAGAAACCCAATTTACTCCTAGTTAAAAATGAAAAAAAAACCTTACTTTGACTAACGCCTAAACTTAACATCCCTAGCAGTTTTTTTTTTTCCTTCTTCTTCCTTCATTGTTAATTGAGAGAGATTCTAGTCGGATTTGAAATCAAAAGGAGAAGAGATAGAAGACAAGAGAAAAAGGGGTTTTAACCATAGACGTCCCTGAACTTTGCCCCCAGTTGCAATTGGGTCCGTGAACTTTTTTTAGAGGCAATTACATCCTTTAACTCGACAAGTAGTTCCAATTGAATCATATCGTAACAGAATCCGTCGAGTTTGACCGTGTGAATGGCACGTGCTCTTGTTGTGAGGGGTATATTGGAGTTTTCACGATGGCCAGCTCTGTGTCTTGTTGTAAACCACCTCAAACTCCTTTACGATGTCGTTTATGAGGTTGATTCGCTTGGCGACGGCAAGGATGTTGAGGAAATTGATGGTGTAGGGCTGGAGGGTGGAGGACTTGGCGATTTCGTAGAGGACACTGATCTCAGAGAAATGGGCAAGAAGGCCGCTTGGAGTGTCAACTCTTGCAAGGCCGGCAATGGCATCTCATCTCTCCGTGACGACAATCTTGATACTTATTGACAGTCTCTGCTTCAATTCTCTTTTCCTTTCTTGATCCCTAAAAAATGCGAAAATGCAAAATGAAAACTTGTAATTGTTTTGTTCTTGTTTGCTTCGTTCGCAAATCAGATGGTGCGCAACCTCTTTTAGTAAACATTCAATTCCAAAATAAAGTGAAGCTCCAAGTATGTGTGAAAGTTTCTATCTTTTTAGTTATTTAAATATCCAAAATTTGATTTTGACTAATGGGTTTTGTTTTTTCTCACCAAAAAAACAAACAAAATCAGCTTGTTGTTCTCTATGTGGATTTCAAGCTTGATGAGAGCTATACACCTTGTAAGATCTCAATTCGTGCCGGGGATGGCTTACGCTTCTTGTCGAAGAACGAAGACCGATAGCTAGACGAAGAACTTCTCGATCTTCTCCATGTCGTCGGCCGTGGTTTCGAGGGTGTTGTTGGATTTGGTCACATCGACCAACGAGGAGGAGGAGGAGAGCTTGAGGGGGATGGGGGTGAATGTGGAGGAGAAGGAGAGGGTGGAGGTTCACACGCGGGATTATGTAGCGAAGGAGACTGTTGGAACTTGAAAGGACACTTTTACCCCTCATTTTGACGGACAAATTGACAAAGTTGGATGGTAGGACTCAATTGTAACTACTTGTCAAGTTAAAGGATGTAATTGCCTTTAAAAAAAAATTTCAAGGACCAATTGCAACTGGGGGTAAAGTTCAGGGACGTCTACAATTAAAAACCCAGAGAAAAACGGCATACGCATGTTTGTGTTGGACATATTTTGCAATTAGTATTTTGGCGCTCACAGTAATCAGAAGCATTTTTCCAACAACAAAAAAAAAAAAACAAAAGTAACAAAGCCTACTCCATTTAAACCCAATTTAATCGTAAGACTCAAGTAAGATAGAAAGCCACAGTATTTTTGGTGCTCAAAATATGTGGATTATTGATTGTTCTGAACCACTCAGATTGGGATTGAAAATAAAAGGGGTATTTTTCTGTGGTGGCTGAACCACTCAGATTAAGGGCCAGTTTGAGATTGCTATGCTGTGAAAATAATAGCTGTCAAATTTGTTGTGTGAGAAATCAGCTGTGAGAGAAAGTAGTTTGGCGTTTGGTAAATTGTTTGTTAAAAGTGTTGTTGGTACAATAATCAGTTTCTAAGTGTTTGGTAATTTTTTTTGTGAAAGTGTTGTGAGCTGTGTATAATGACTAAAAGGGGTATTATATTAAAATGACTTTTGTGTTAAATTTTTTGACAAAAGGAAAGCACTTTCACCTTCACTTATATATATATATATATATAT